CGGTCGGCGGACCTTCTAAGTGAATTAATTCTGGAGTCTCGAGAAATTCTCGCCAACGGCACCGCTGGGCTCGCCGTCAGTGCCCTAGTTCAAATCATCACATTTTGGTCATTTTCGCTCCAAATTCTCTCCTTTTTGCATCTTTTTGCTCCAATGACCCTAATTCATCATTCCTGCAACAAAACATCAAAAATACATTTCATTAAAGTGCAATATCATCAATAAAAGTATAAAATAGGTATGAAAATCTCAACATATTTTCCTTTGGTCAGGATTCCAGGTTTAGGAAGAGGCTTCTTCAAGTTAGAGAGTGGTCCAAGGATTTTATTTATTGGGATCTTGGGTGCGGTAATGTTTCCTTCTGGCATGATTCTCAGGCTCACATTAATTTTTCTCCTTGGGCCGATATTCATAATGATATCCTTGTTTCTGATACTTGGCTTAATAATTTTGGAAATTTGCCTCTTCTTACTCAGTTAATGGGGGCCGAAAATGCTACTTATATTTCTACTATTAATTTTGATTCTCATAAACCAGATACTCATATGTTGAATATGCATCCCGAAAAATCTATTACAAAAACGATTTATCACTCCTCCCACCATTTTCAGCCAACTACATGGCGGGGACGCTTTGAGGAACCATGCACTAACACCTTCTATAACCTTCTTGGCTTGGAGAATTTTTCATCGTTTACTTCCTTGTGATGATATCCTCAAGCTCAAGGGGTTAAGGTTAGCTTCTTGTTGCTCTTTATGCAACAATGATGAGGAAACTTTGCATTTATTTTTCACTTGCCCATTTTTGCTACAAATTTGGAAAATGGGGGGACTTCGGTGTAGCACTACTATTTATCCGACCACAGTTTTGATTCTCACTATTTTTTTGTGTAACTTAGATCATAGGTGTAACCATTTTCTACACATATATCCTTATATTATATGTTGGTTCATTTGGATGACCCGAAATGATATTAAACATTCTAATAGTAAACCTTTATGCTCCAATGTGATCTCCAATTTTCTTTCTTATGCTCTTAAAATTTACAAGTTCAGTGGTAAGAAGGATAATTTCATCCCGGGTATTATATATTTTGACTCTCTTCCTCACCCTCTACAGAGTAGGGCACTTTCCAAACCAACCATGGTGAAGTGGCAACTGCCCCTGTTGGAGTGGGTGAAAATTAATACGGATGGTAATTCGAATCAAAGAAGTGCTAGTTTAAGGGGAGTTGTGCATAACCACAGTGGTCGTTTCCTGCTCTTTTTCTCTTCTCCATGCATTGAAGACTCGGCTGGGGAGTTTGAAGCTCACGCAAACGCAATTTTAATGGTGGTCACTATTGCAGTCTCTTTGAATTGGTCTAATATTTTGATCAAAACTGACTCTAAGATTCTATTTGAGATGTTCAATCAAGGGAAGCTTGTCACTTTGGATGATTGTTACCACATTAACCGTATTATAAGATTATCCTCTATAGTTCCTATTCTTTGGAGATTTATTCATCACGAAGGTAATAAGTCGGCTAATTGGGTTTCAAAATGTGGTGCGTCCACCTCTACGATCTTAGTCGATACGGTGCTTCTTTCTCCTTTACAGGTTTGACTTCATGGGGATTTAATGGCTGCACCTTATCTTAGGAATATTACTGGCTGATTGGTTTGGGGTATTTATTGCTTATGGTTTGGTTTCCACTTGCTTTACAGAGATGTTTCAATTTCCTCGGTACTAGTTGCTGGATTTTCATTTTTCGGTACAAGGACTGAACTATGTTTGGAGTGGCGTGATTCTTTCCTCCCTCATTCATTCCAAAATTTGGGATCTCATTTTTGGTGCAGGTGGTTTTCGGTACATTCTAGATTTTCTATTCAATTTTTGGTACAAAAGCACCTTTTCCTATTTTTGTCCAACAATTGTTGGAATGATTTTCTCTCCACTGTTATCACTTGTTCCAATGGATGATTACTTTTTGCTTGATATGCCTTTTGATGGCCTTTGGTGGAAAGGTTTCAATGTATGTTTATGCAGGTTGAATGCCATTTCTTTGTTACCTTTTATATACAACTCGACTCGGGATAGATGGGATAGCTTCGCAAATATTCAGCCTTCAATCCAACTGATTTATTTTCTTTTTCTATAATACAAGTTCTGGTTCTGTTGGATATACTTTGGTTCGAGATACATGTATACTATATTGGGTATACCTTCATTTCTTAAGTTTCATTTTTTCATTTTTTGAGTTGGGCGTTAGTTATTGTCACTTGTATTAGAGCTCGGGAACCCCCTAGCGAGTGTGTCATGTATGGTTTTGTTATTTTAGAGGGGGATCCCCTCCCTACCCAACTTTTTGTACTCTTTTTTGAGATTAACGTGTAAGGAGCCATACAATGCTCTTTCCTTTAATGAGGTCAATTCTTCCTTTAACTCATTGCATCTCAGTAAATCACTTCCAATTTCTAACGGAATCACTACACATATATATTGGGCACTTATAAATAATTTTATAGATTCTAATCCAAAAGATAAGATTATCCGTGATATATTGGCTCTTCAGCACCAACCCTAGGCATCGTCATATTCCTCGATTAAGCACCTCTAGCAGTTATAAGAATAGTGTAAATTCATCCACATGTTACTCATCAAATAGGTTAGCTACTCCTATCAAATGAAAACAAAGTTAGATAAAAGATATAATCAAACTTAGATGGAATAATCATTGCTAAAGTTCATAATGTCTCTTGTAAAACTCAAGTTTGGGTGAGACTCGAGTTGTAGCAGACTCGTCAAACCATCTAATACAAGAGAACATATAAGTCTAGCCATAATAAGAAGTTAAGGAATCACCTCCCTCATGACACACAAAAATCTAATCAAACCACTAACAATCCAAACATTTACCAATCATCAATCAAACTAAAAAATCCACACTAAAGCAAACACAATACAACACTAATAATCATAACTCTCAAGCACACTAAATCAAACCATACTGATAACTATGGGTTGCCTCCCATAAACCGGTTTGTTTAACATCGTCAGCCCGACAAATGATTCCACTTGGATAAAAACTCAATTTAATTAATATTTGATCAATCACCCAATCTTATCTAGATCCAGGGATTCCTACAAAGTCTTCAAATTTAAAATTTTCTTTAGCTCTTCGATTTCAGATTGTTTCATATCATTATTCTTCATATTTCCTTCTAGATCCAATATTCTTCTATTGATTTTTTTAATTTGCATATTAATATCATCCTTCAAATTCATAAGAAATGGATCTTTATATGATAATTCAATATCTCCCAAATTTTAGATCGGATTCTCTTTAGATAATTCAAATTCTGGATCAAATTCTTCTATGTTACAATTTTTATTTCAAGTTTCTCTTCTAACTCTTCCCCTTAGTACTGAGTAAATGGTAAAGATGGTCTTTCTATATTTATCTTAGTTGAAGAAATAGGTTTTTCTAATTCCTCAAGAATTTCTTCTTTTGTTTTTTCAATTTCCTTATCCTCATCGCTCAACTTAAAGTTCTTTTGAAACATATCCTCAAATTTTCTTCTAAATATTTGTTTGATAATTTTAAATTTCTCATCATTCATCTCCTTTGGGATTGTCTTAGGGCCACTAGAAAAAAATCTCTTGGGGGGTAACTATTAATTGCATTAATAATCTGCCCCAGCTGGTTTTCTATATTCCTAATTGCAACCTCCTGATTTTTCAATTGTCTCGTCATTTGAATCACAACTTCTTCTAACATTAATTCCTTCTCCTCATCATATGAGTTAGAGTTAAATTGAGGAGGATTACTAATTGAGTTAATAATCTATCCCAGTTGGTTTTCCATATTCTTTATTGTGGTCCCTTGACACTCTAGCTCACTCTCCATTTGAATAAGAACCTTTTCTAGTAAATCCTTCTCCTCATTTTGGGGTTTGAAGTTAAAAGAGGGAAAGAAAGTTCATTATTATAATATCCATGATTGTTCCAACTACATTTCTGACTAAATTGATTATTTTTCTAAAATTGGTCTTCTCCTCCAAAATTATTATTCCTGTTAAAATTCAAATGATTTTCCCAACATGGATTGTAATAATCAGAATAAGAATTATGTATTTCATGCCATATCTTTCTATGTATTGATCCAACTTCCTCTCAATATCTACAACATGAGAAATTAAATTGCAAGTATTTCTTCTTGAAAATTTGCCACTTTTTGGAGGTTTAATGTTTCAAAGCTACCAGCATTATAATATAAATTTGAATATTCATTAAATCATTGGTCTATCATTTCTACATTAAATTCATGGAGTCTTTTCAAATCTCTCCCAAAAGTTCTCTCCAAATTTGATTTGTAAAATTCAAGGTCTGCAGCTTTTGAGCTATGCATACAAATCTAAAGACTTGACTAATAGGATAGATATCAAAAATATTTTTGGTATTTTTAATTGCTTTAAAATAAACACATAATAATTAAATACACAATATAATAATACTCTAAATTCCAAATCTAAGTCTTACATTTTTAGCTAAAATTATCCTAAAGTTCTTGTCGATGCTTCCCCAGCAACGACGCCAAAAACTTAAAGTGCCACATACAGTGTGCTAGTTTTTTGCGTGTTTTATGTCAATTTAAATCTCTGGTAACAGTGTCAAAAACTTGAACCATCCCGAAATTATGGAGTAATTTTGCTTTAAAAAATATGGCCAAAAACTTGACTCAATTTATATTAAGTATTTAATGTACAAAATTTAAATGTTATATAAAATATATAAAATATATAAAATAGTTCACACACTAGTGGTTCTATGGAAGTGCATGTATCGCTTCAAGTATTGTTGGGCTTTCTTTAAAAACCCCAATATCGATCCTACGAAGAAGCGAGGTAAGAAATCCCTTAGGCTAATTCTAGTCTACTACTATAAGCAATTAGTTTGAGAGGTTGATTAAAGTGATTTAAATGTATGCTAACAAAACTAAGTTTAATAAATTAATTTTTAAACTTTCAAGTTCAATTTACTAAGAATATATAAGTTTTTGTAATGAAGAGTTCAAATTTAAGAAAGTTTCCTTCCCACTACAATGAATTTTTCGTTAATGATAGATAAAAATGGTTTGAATTTGTATTGTGCAAAATAGGAGAAGTTTTAATTCTCTACCCTCAGTAAAGTGTTATAGAGAATAATTGCCTAATCTTAGGTTTAATATCTAAATCTATTATTAGGGTGGGAGGATACTGACTCTCACTCCAGAGCTCCCACTTCCCTTACCCTGAAGGCTAACTCTCACTTTAGTTCTTAAAGCTATATTCTAAACTTCAAAATTAAACTAACTAAAACTAAACAAAGTTCTGTAATGAAGAGTTCAAATTTAAGAAAACATCTTTCTTCTTTTCAATGAGTAAATGAATTGTGAAGTAATTAAAATCATTTAAAATTATATATAAATTTGTATTGTGCCAAATATAAGCAATCCTATTCATTACCCTCTGAGAGTGCATAAAGAACATTGAATAATCCAGAGTTTAGTCCTTAAATCAGTGGTTAGGTTGAGAGGATACTGGCTCCCATTCCAAAGCTCCCACTTCTCCCTCCTATGAGGGCTAACAATCTCGCTTTAGTTTCCAAGCAACTGGACCAAATTAGGGATTTTAGTATGTCACTCTAAAATCTTCAATTGTGGGCCCATCAAAATATATTTTCCTATTTATTTACACGCAACCCCATGGACTACATTCTCACCCATGAAATTTAATGCAACTTTTACTTTGTTGTAGAAAATATGGCTCTTTCAGATTTTATTTTTCTAAACAAATTTTAACACTTCAATTGGCCATATCAAAAAGTAAATGAAGATTAGAGTTCAAATCATCACAATTTATTAACATTTAAAATCTTACATAACAAAATTAATTCTTAAAAAAACAATATCTCATTGTAGGGAGAAGGATAAATAAAACTACTCAGAGTTCGTGAGAAGGATACGACAAAACATGGATTATATATATATATATATATATATATGTTTACAAAATAAGGAAATGAAATAACACAACTTATCTTAGACTCCTCCTCAAGCAATTCCCTCGAAGTTCCCTTGTAGCACTTTCTCTCTTTACAATCAACACTAAATTCTCTCTTAGAAGTGTAATGAAGAAGAAACCTTTCACCTTCCTTCTCCTCTTACAATTCTTCAAGAAAATCCCCTCCACACACAAGAATTTACTCTATTCTAAACTCACACACTCACACACACACACACACACACACACACACTCACACACACACACCCACACACACACACATGCCCACATGCGAGCACACACCAATATGAGAGGCGCCAACTCCTCTCTTTTAAAGAGGCACAAAATCCCTCTTTTTCTCCAAGAGCTTCACTCCAAGTGTCTAGATTCATTGAATCACTACAAGAGACACATCTCTTCATCTAAAAACCACTCATTATCTCTAAGAGACACTTCCCTTCATTTAAGAGCCTTTTGAAGTGTCTAGATGCATTGAATCACCTCATGGGGTATTTGAATCACTTTGGAGGCTTCTAGAACATCAAAAATAAAAAAAATCCTTCCATTTTTCATCAC